TTGGTGCCTGGATTTCAGATTTGGGCAGCTTCATAGATTGACTTAAATTTCATAATCAGAATTTGACTTGTTATATTTGAACTTGAGTACTAAATATTTTCAGTTTATTTTTTAACCAAACAGACTTCTTGACTTCTCTGGAGGGTTTGTTGGCCTTTCTTTTTTTTCTTTTGCAGAAGACAGACTCTGTTCCAGCGGCGTCTGCTTCATTAATGGTGTGTGTGCAGAGGAAATGTGTTTATTTATGAGCTGGACACTGTTAATTACCCCTGCATGCTTGGATAATTATCTCCCGACTTCAAAGACATTTTAACCCCCAGAGACCCAGAGAGTCTGCACGCACTCCAGTGCTCGTGTGTGCGGGTGCGTGCGTGTGACTGAGCTGGACAAGGAGCTCACAACGCCCAAAATATCGCCTGCTAATTAGAAGAAAATGTTGAGTCATCAGCAAAATATTCAGAGATATTCACAAGAAACAAGACAGAGACGACTGGAACCAACATCAGCTACAGATTTTAAATGAATGAAAGTTGTACAAACACTCTTTTGATGAGACTGGTAACACGCCACAGCCAATAATCACCTTCTCAAATACAGATTATTATACACTTCTATCCAGTCCTGTTATGTGAGTATTAAGAATTGGTTCATTGAGATAAGTAGGCAGTAAATCTCCAGTCTGGTGTCATTAAACCACAGCAGGAGAAAAGGACGCACCAAGATGATGTAATTAAATGAGCTTCAGTCAAAGCACAAAGAAAAACATGATATGTGAGGAAGGTTACAGTCTCCTCATCACTCAGTCGAACCACTCTCAGTCTGGTTTGCAGCTGAATCCATGTTAATAGCTTCTTTTACAATGCCTGTTTAAGTTGGGAATATTGCATCATCATGCCGCCTCGCTGCACGATGATCACTTAAATCACACATCAGATTTTACTGATGTAAACGGTATAATTTCTTGAGAAGAAAATGACGTAACAACGGTCACTGGAAACCAAATTCATCAACTCATAATGTGACTCAGTTGTGTGTACGGCCCCCGCCTGCCTGTACACACTCCTGACAACGTCTGGGCTCTTGATGAGTCGGTGGATGGTGTCCTGGGGGATCTCCTCCCAGACCTGGATCAGGGCAGCAGTGAGCTCCTGGACAGTCTGTGGCGGACACACCGATACATAACGTCCCATAGGTGCTCAGTTAAATTTGGTCAGGGGAACGAGAGGGCCAGTCAATGGCATCAATGCCTTCATCATCCAGGAACTGCCTACACACTCCGGACACATGAGGCCAAGTCCTGCACCAGGAGGAACCCAGGGTCCACTGCACCAGGAGGAACCCAGGGCCCCCTGCACCAGGGCAAACCCAGGGCCCTCTGCACCAGGAGGAACCCAGGGCCGTCTGCACCAGGGCAAACCCAGGGCCCTCTGCACCAGGAGGAACCCAGGACCCACTGCACCAGGAGGAACCCAGGACCCACTGCACCAGGAGGAACCCAGGGCCCTCTGCACCAGGAGGAACCCAGGGCCCTCTGCACCAGGAGGAACCCAGG